GGGGGGGGGAACGGGCGGTGTGGAGGGGGTGTTGTGGAGAGAGACAGAGTTAACGTATCGGCTCCAGTGAACCTTCCTCTGGTACCTGGCTTCTCCAGGGTTGGGATCCGGCGGCCGGACCCGGGGCCGCTACCTGCTCCATCCTCCCGGATGACGGAGAGGATCCTGGCCGCTGGTTCGAGCTGGGGCCTAGGGTCCTGGAAATCAGGAGCGTCCCTCCAACCGGAGCAACTGCTCCCGCTGCAAATGGCGGCGGCCGGAACCGGAAACCGGGCCGAGCCCGGGGTCAGAGGTGAGACTCTCCCGTGATCCGCATAGAGGACTTTCCCGTGATGTCAGGGGGCGGGGCAAAGGGCTGCCATTGTCACCGCCTGAGATCCTGCTCCTTCAATCTGTCAATGCGAGGAGGGAGGGGAAAATGCCATTCCCTTCTCATCTCATCGTAACCCTACACCTTTACTTCATTTTCAACCAAGCTAAACCCCTCTCAAATCCTTCAACTGAACCATTCCCTTGACCCCACTGCAAAACTCTCAGGTAGTGCAATCCAGACCCTAACTGCAAAATGTAAAGAACTCTTTCCCTCTCATTGCATTTGCTTCTTTTATCAACTACTTTCAATCTGTGCCCTCTTGTTCGTGATTCTTTTAGGAGTGAGATCAGTTTCTCATTACCTACTTTGTCTAGACCTATGAAACCCCTGTACCTTCCTATGATATGTCCTCTCAGCTTTCCATTCAAGAATGAAAATAGTCGCAACTTCTGCAATCTACTTCTACCACTGGAGCTGTTTATCCCTGGAACCATTCCAGCAAATCGTCTCCAAGACCTTCATGTACATCTGTAAAATGTATCTTTTTATTTTCTCTATTTTAGATTGTAGACTAAAATGCAAAAATGACCATTTTAAAAACAAGTTACTGAAATTCATTTTGTGTGTTGTAGATATTGCTGCTTTGTTCAAGCAGAGGGGAAAGTTGTCTGTAGATAGCCCAGTCCCAGGGGCTGTGTACAGACTGAGATTTGGCTGGCAACAAGAAGCTGATCAATTTGTATAATTGTTAACCATTGTTGATACCAAAAGTCATCAGATGATGACAACTCTTTGATTGGTTCCTGGTGGCTGAACAGTTTGTCAGTGTGAATGATATGGTGAAAAGTATTCAGACTGCCGGAAGGACAGATTTTGTGTCTCCATTTCAGCTGTAAAAATACCTGAAGCTTGAAGAAAGCCATTTATCTTCTTCTGGTTGCTGTAAGATGTTGCCTTTAACCAGTAGTTAAGAGACTTTGCAGTTAGTGCGCAAATTGCCCTATTCCTCCTGCAAAGAGGTGAAGGACTTCAGAACAGAGATTGAAGAACAGAAAATTCTGACAATCCAGGAGAGTCATCTCAGCCTGGTGTTATTGAACTGTGGTTTCCAGATTTCTTCCCTCTACCCTTACAACTTGTGTTTTGTTTTATTTGTTTGTCTATCTGTACCTGTGTGTGTGCTAAAAGAGTTTTTACTAATAGCACCATATGTTGATAGTTCATAGCTGTTTGCTTGCTGATGAGAATTTACTAAATTACACTAAATAGTAGTTCTTTTAAGTACAGGAACATGCTCAGTGATTCCACTTGACAGGTAAATTGGGATTTTGTATGCTTTAATTAAATTATTAACATCTGTGGTGACCCTGGCATTAAGTGGTTTGTGAATCAATGCCCATAGCCAAGTAGGTAAGTCTATAGGTATTTAAAAAGAAAAAGATTGGTGAAGACAAATATATATCCCTCACAGTTAGAAACAGTGGAAGCTGTAATGGGGAACAAAGACATGGAAATAGATATTTTGGTTCAGTCTTCAAAAGGAGGATGAACATAATAGTCTTATGGTGCAGAAATGTTGGGGATCACAGGGTCTAGTGAGATGGAGAACTGAAGGAAATCAGTATAAATAGGAAAACAGTTTTAGAGAAATTGATGGGATTGAATGCCAATAAATTCCCAAGGTCTTCCCAGAATACTTAAGGAAGTGGCCCTAGAAATAGTAAATGTATTCTTGGTCGTCTTTCAAAATTCCTTGCACACCAGTCCCTGAAGGTAAACATGCACTGCTGAGAATAACGTAAACTCTAGAAAATACAGGCCCAGTCAAACCAATCTCTCCTCAAACAACAGTCCTGCGATCTCTGGTATCAGCCCAGTGAACATCTGCTACACTCCCTCTATGGTAAGTATATCCTTACTTAGCTAGGAAGACCGAATCTGTACACAATATTCCAGGTGTGGTCTCACTAAGGTCCTGTATAAATGCAGTAAGACATTCCTATTTCTGAACTCAAATCCCCTTGCAATGAAGATCAATATTCCATTGGCTTTCCTAATTGCTTTCTGCACCTACCTACTTTCATTGACTGGTGTAGATGGACACCCAGATGTCTTGGTACATCCACACTATATCTTCCTTTAAATAATACTCTGCCTTTCCATTTTCCACATCAGAGGATATAACTTCACATTTAGCCAGGTTGTACTGCATCAGCCCATTCACTCAACTTGTCTAAAACACCTTGGAGCCTCTTTAGTTCCTCCTCACAACTCACAAATGAACCCAGTTTTTTTCTTGTCAGCAAATTTGGAAATATTGTATTTGGTTCCCTCATCCAGGTTAATTATATGTATCGTGAATTGTTGGGGCCCAAGCACTGATCCTTGCAGGACCCCACTAGTCACTGCCTGCTACTCAGAAAAAGACCCATTTATTCCCAGTCAACCCTGTCAACCAGTTCTCAATGCTTGCCCCCTTCCCCATGTGCCTTAACTTTACCCACTGTGTGGCATGGAGTTCCAAAGACTTATGAACTTCTGAGAGAAGAAATTCCTCTTCGTCTCAGTCTTAACATTTCTTTAATAATAGATTCAGCATTTTCCCCACTACTGATATTAGCTAACTGGTCTGTAATGTGAAAACTCATAATTAAATTAGTGTGCCTAAATGCTTCCCCACTGACACTCACTCAACTTGGCTCACTTCATTCCCAAGAACCAGGTCTAGCAGTGCTTAAAAAAATAATCTAGTAATTTGGAAATATGAGCATCAGCATTCTTTTATCTAGTTCGATCACATCATGTACAGCAGAATATACATTTTCAGAGATCACAGGCATTTAGTTTAAATAATGAAAAATCATGGTATTAGTAACCTGCTTATAACATTAAACCACCAACACACGACAAGTGAGGTTTCTATTTTACAAATGTAGACAAGTAATGGAGCCCATATTCAAAACATATAACAAAACAACAATTATGTCTTTGGATGAAATATTTTCAATATTATTAAATTTCAGTTTCTTTATTTTGTTGATTGTTTATGAATGGTCCAAAACATAAGTTTCACACATGATATCATAATCTGAAGCACTTCGCATAAAATAAGAGCAATGTAATCTCAGCAAAAAAGTCCGAGTGAAGATTCAGGATTCAAAATCGATATTTAACTAATATAGCCAATTCCTGACAAAATGTTTCAATTTTAAGGAGAAGATTTACTTCTAAGGAACTTTCTTACAAGATATTCTTTGGATGTAAGAAAACAAAATAGCATCGATGTAATTGCCAACAATAAATAACGTTAGTAAATACTGGATAGTTCTTCAATTAGTAAATTGAAGCATCGATGAAATTAATTTTACATACCCTTGGCCATGCAGGTAAGTTGAGGATGTCCATCGAGAATATAACCATGCACGCATGAGTAGTGATCTTGTCTCCAACATCAAAGCTTGTGCCATGAACAATGCCTCCGTGTGGTACACCAGGGTTTCCACAAGTATTTTTTTGTAATTCTGTGAAGAAAAACAGACAAAATGAAAAATGAGCTCACTATAGGTTCCAAATTGATCCATCCTGTATGAACATTTGGGCATGCCTTTCTATGGTGAAAAGTTGGTTCAACTATAATATTGGAAAACCAATTTTGCATCGTCAAGGATTTTTTTTCTCCATTTCTTCAGGAAATTATACTTCCCTGTCTCAGTGCTTTGGAAAGCATCAAATTGCTGGTCAAAATTATGTTTTAAATATTACAACTGAAATTTGCATCATTTCTTTTCCAGTCACTTTTCCCCACTTTGCCTATTGCCATTTGGGTTATGAATGAAGATGAGTCAAATTGCAATACTTCATACGTAAACTATGTAATCACATTAGTTCATTGGCTCCTGAATTTGGGCTGGAAGATCCTGGTGTATGGTTCACATTTTCCATCACTTTCACTGCAAGCAGTGTAGTAATTACTGCTACCTAACACTTAATGATTTCAGTGCCCAGCCAATACCAACCTGTGTCCAAAGAAAGCATTGCAGGGACTAGGAATGTGTCAGATAGAGCCAGATGGAGTTGCACACCAAGCTGTTTGCATCCAAAATGTACTCACAAACATCTAAATTGTCTTTAATATATGTGTGGTATATTTTTATTTTTTGTTTGCACAGCTGCTCACAGTCAGTATTTACCATGGAACATTATTAATGCAATACCTTCCAAACAATAATGCCCAGGATTAGTTTCACGGGAAACTTCCTGCAAAGAAGCCCTACATTTTGGATAGTTCAGCATGAAAGCTGACCATCTGAAACTTGCAGATTGCAGTGGGGGTGTTCATTGATAGCTATAGCTCTGAATTTAAGATCACATCTCCCCCTTGATTTCTCCAAACAGTAAAACTGGCTACAACTGCCTGTGTCACACCACTGGCTTTCCATGACATTAATGGAGCTTTCTGTGACACCACTTGTGCCAACACTTCCCAGAATATGTCGACCTCGAATCCACAATTCTAACTGGGTGGTTAAGAGCCTCAAAAGCACTAAGCATGGGTGACTAAGCGAAAACGATGAAGGGTTAGCAGTTTGATATTTTTAGTGCACGCTCCTTCCCTTGCTGAAAATACATTCAGTTTGGGAGCCTTAAAACCCAGCCTAGTATTTTACAACACAATTTTTTGCAGAATTATTGCTAGGCCTTAAATGAAGATAGATAGAATTAAATTTCCAAATGCATTCTTCCCATTCCATCATTGAAAATTGGTTGGAAGCTACATTTCCTTGCATAGACAAAGTTTCAGTGAAACTTCATCCAAAGTGATCATCAAATGCAAGATATCCTGATGAAATTAGTTTCCATTATGATTATTAAGAAATAATTTGTAGCTGTTTATTTGCAAATAACAAATATTGTATATTGTTACGTGACAAAGGACTCTAGGGAGGGAATTGCTAGTACATTGTTAGTAATGTACTGTATGATTGTAATACGTTTTATCATAAAACAGGAACCATTTTCCATTTGATTTTAATTTACAAGACTGAACAGTCAATAACTGAATTGAGTGAAAAACCAGTTTGTTTTAACTTGTCTGCTCTAATGAGTATTTTCAATGTGGAAATGTTGCACTTTATGGCCTATTTATGGCTCAAAAGTGCTCAGAGTGATACACTTTGTAGATTTACTATATGTTAATCCATGTAACATACATATATCTTGAAATTTATTAACAATAGTGATTATTTACAACGCCGCAATGTTGCAGATTTACATCCATGATCTGTGTTCTGTGCTTAGTGATGTTACTGTATAGCACATATGCATAGCTGATTGATTCCCTGGCACAGAGACTGGAACCCTTGATGTTGCAATTGATGAGTTTGTTACCACATGGATCATAATAATACATAGACTTATACATGCTGCTAAACCAATGAAAGACGGTCCAACTGTTTTAATTATAGGAAAGATTTCATGTGTCCTTAAGGACAATCCACACTGACATTTAATTGGCATGGATAACGCCAATGCATACA